TGTAATGGCATTTGCTGACTTAAATATTGGGTTAAGTTTAGCAAAGATTAATCTGATCTCCTTTTTCAATTCTTGACTGTGAATTTCATGCAGCATTATTAATGTTGTCTTGTTTTGGTGTAGATGATACTGGTTTCTACTGTGTTTATATGGTTCATATTAACTTATAGAAGAACAGATTTTTTTTTTTTTTTGGAATATCAACAAGCCGTCAAGAAACTTTGATCTCATTGGTGATTCGATGCTAAATTGTGTCAGGTTTATGAGCTGAATCGTTGGTTAGTGTTCTTTCCCTGTTATCCACAAGCTGCTGCATCTTTATAATGTTAAGATACTGCTTTATTTCATTATTTTTTGCACTTTTAAGATTTCTGACCTAGTTCCCTCTATTTGTCTCAGAGCCATTCTATGGTACAAGTTGCTTATACAATAGGGAGAGAAGAGAAAAATTGTCAGAAGATTTCTATTTTAGCATTCTACCAACTGATGCATGATGTAAGCCTTAAAACTAATGTAGCGTTAAATTCTTTGGTATCTTCAGAACCTCGTGGACTTTTCTATTTAGATGCTCCGTCAGCATCTGTGTGTCTACTAGTCCAATTAGAGAAGCCTGCAACAGAAGAAGGGGGAGTGACTCCTTCTGTTTATTCATGTAAAGAACCTGTATGTATGAAGAACTTATATGTTTCCATCTTGCTCATCTTCAATCTGACCTCTGATTAAATGTGACAAAATTTCTCTTTTGTTGGCTTGCTTGTGACCTGGCAGCAAGAATTTTACCTGTTGGCTTGGTTGTTACCTGGCAGCAAGATTTTTACCTGTTGGCTTGCTTGTTATCTGGCGGCAAGAATTTTAACTATTGCCCCATCATCATCTGTCTTTCAATTGGTTTTTACTGTAGTTCTTACTGTGGAAAATAATGGCTCTGCATCTGCTAGATAAGTTAGCTAATCATTGGCATTGCAATTAATGCTTGATATTTTAGTTTTTCGGCCAGGGTGATTAACCAGTAGCTGAGATGGTGGAGCATTTGGTCTTTCTCTTACAGCAAGATAATTGTGAAATTAGTAATTCTTCAGTGGATTTTCATCCATATTGATCTTCATCCATATTCATTCATCTATGCTCCTACTGCTACATATTACCATACTTTCTTTTATCTATGCTTCCTTACAAATTATAAATAACTCTATTTTTCCTGCATTGATCCTTTTGTTACTCTAATGTTTTGGATCAGTTGATTATGAATTGTTTCTCATAGGTGATTAGAAGTCAATGTTTTGGTACCTCTAGCAGGAAGGGATGTTTATTTCTCAGAAATATGAATCAACTGGAGTTTGGTGAACGTTGACATTTTAAAAGATGAGAGAAAACAAAGCAATAAAAAAACCTGGTGATGCAGCTGTTGTGCATTTGAACTCAAATTGTTACATTGCATGCTAAGTGTTCTCATTTTAGTGAAGACATGATTAGGAAAGTCTATAAATAATTTAAACTATGTCAGTTGAGAATTGTTGCATGTGTGAGGCAACATAGTTTTGGCTATTGGAATATGAGGGTAGATCTTCAACCACTAATGTTGAACTGAACATCAATTTTGTTGTAGGACACTCTTAATATTTTAGAGTTGATGAAAGCTCAGGGAAAATAAATATAATTTTGATTTATTTTAGTAGTTGTATGGTTTTTGACTATTGTTATTGCTTAATGGTAATCATTTCTAAGGTAATTGCACATTTTACCCTCTGCATCTCAAATAAATTCCTTATAATTATTGTTGTTCTCTATCTTCTCCTTAAGAGGTGCACTTGACTGAGAGAGAAAGGCAGAAACTGCAGGTGTGGTCTCAAATTATGCCTTAATGAGAGTCCTTCGCCTGGGCTATTGTTCCTTTATTTGATAATAGCATTGGTGGAGCTTCTGGTGGATCTGCTTCTCCTAGTAGCCGTCTTGCTCCCAGCATGTCTGGGTCTAGTTCCCATGAGGGTGTCCTTGAGTCTGTTGCAAAGATTACATTAGATGGGAAGATGGGTTATTCAAGCAGAAGCTCTGTTGTTGTTGAAATATCTAACTTGCATAAAGTGAAAGAAAGCTATACTGAGGAGTCACTTCAGGTATAATGGACATCTAACTTGCTCTATGTTATTTGACATTCTAGTTGATTTCTGGCCTTTGTTTTCTATGGTTTGCAAAGAAAAGTTGAAGACTAGTTGATGTCCTTCCGTCCCTATATGCATAATTTTGATTGCTTATAAGGTTTAATGGAGTCATTACATGCCAATATAAACTGGCTGAAGGTATGTTCATGGAGTCATCCTGTGCCAATGCCAATAGGAGAAGGTGAGGACGAGGTAGAGAGTAGGGGAGGCTATGGAAAATGGGCTTTTTGTATGTCAAATGTAATTATATGTCAATGAGTTAGCTGAGCTTTAGAAGGTTTCTGTTCATTTAGAGCTTTACATTTTTTGTGAAACAAATAATGATGTAATTCTAACTCGTGAACCAAAATTTGCTTTCAACTGGAGGTTGTACTGATCAACTTATGGAATACTTCATCAAACGATACAATTTTATAACATTTCTTATCTGCCTTTGTGATTAAGATATCTTCGCAGATAAAATATTATCGTGTTATACCTTGGCTTTAGCAAATGTGCATGCATTTGACTGATAAGTGCAAGGGAGCTAATGACCCTCAATGACTGTTTGTTTGGCAAAGCTTATTCTTCAACTTGTTTATAAGCACTTTTTTCTCTCACAAGTCTAAAGAAGTATTGGAGGGAAACTCTACTTTTTAGCATTTGAAATGCTTTTAAGAAAGTTTGAAGAAAGTAAGTGAGGTGCTAATAAAAAACCCTAAACAACTCTGCCAAAGAAATGCTGTGAAAAAAGGGAGGTCGAAGAAATGAAGAATCTGTAATGTTCTCTAGATATTTTATGAGAACTAATCCTTTTTGGAGTATAGAAATGCACGTAATTACCTTTTCACTAATTAAAAGCATTTATATGCATATTTTTTTTCTAGAGTAAGCTTTTCAGCATCTTCATCCCCTGTTTTTTCTTT